TATATATATATATGCAGTTAGCTGTATTTGTATGTGTAGGAAAAATTGTTTCTGATGTAATAGGTACACTGCATCTATATGTGTGTATATGTGTTTACTTATGGTCGTGGTCAGTGTTGATCTTGTTTGGTAATTGCGTATATACGTACTCGCGTTTGTATGTGTATATGTGCGTGCACACAACTAGTCATATGTAGGATTTAATATATACGTTAGACACGTGAATGCACGCCTGTAGATGGTTTACAGCTATTCCTACAAACTGGTTCTAGCGATATATGTTGTACACATAAGTACACTAGCATAGGCACGTATGTACATTGCGAATCAAGACCCGCATTAGTAGGTACTTCACCACGCGTAAACCTCCCACTCCATACCATTCAACAAGGCCTACAACCTCAGCATACAACGTCGTTAGATATACGTCTGCAAGACATCTGGGGACTGTAGTGGTACCGAACTGTTTCCACCGCATGGTGTGCTGGGTACTTGCGATGATCCAGCTAGTGCAAGCCTTCAATTGATGTAGAATACTATTCAAAAGACGCTCTGCAGTGCATGCGTACTCTACTGATATAGGTATATTCTGTTTACGTGTACCTCCAGTCCTCGCGTTAACACATGCTCCCAGTAGGCATCCAGTTTATTCTATCGATGACACCTGCTTTATACCGTAGTTGGTGACAGCTGTTGTGTGTATTCTGGTTATCGTAGGAATGGATACCCTGGTGCCGTGGGAGTATCAGTTTAACCCAGCAGATGGCCCGCCCATACGGTCTATAGTGCCGCCGTTTGTGTTGGCTGGGTTACCCATGCTGATCTTCAGAACGCTGGGTCTGACGGGTGAGTTCTATGTATAGCCGTCATAGCGTCTATTTACCGAGCATGTAGCGGAGCATGTAGCGGAGCATGTAGCGGGCGAGTTCTATTTATAACACCTAGTGAGGTGTTAGTGGTTGCAGTCTATTTATAGAACATGTAGCGGGCGAGTTCTATTTAAAACACTTGGTGTGATGTTAGTGGTTGCAGTCTATTTATAGAACATGTAGCGGGCGAGTTCTATCTATAACACTTGGTGCGGTGTTAGTGGCTGCAGTCTATTTATAGAACATGTAGCGGGTGAGTTCTATTTATAACACCTGGTGTGATGTTAGCGGTTGCAGTCTATTTATAGAACATGTAGCGGGCGAGTTCTATTTATAACACCTAGTGAGGTGTTAGTGGTTGCAGTCTATCTAAGAACATGTAGCGGGTGAGTTCTATTTACAACACTTGATGTGGTGTTGGTGGTTGCAGTCTACCTATAGAACATGAAGCGGGTGAGTGATATTTATAGCACTTGGTGTGGTGTTAACGGCTACAGTCTATTTTTAAAACATGTAGCGGGTGAGTTCTATTTATAGCACTTGGTGTGGAACTAGCGACTATTGTCTATTTATAGAACATGTGGCGGGTGATTCTATTTATAACACATGATGTGCTGTTAGTCGTTGCAGTCTATTTATAGAGTAGCGGGTGAGTTCTATTAATGACACTTGGTGTGGTGTTAGTCGTTGCAGTCTACTTGTAGCCCCTACAGTGATGATGTTGGAGGTTAGGGTTTTATGTTTTAGGGTTTAGGGTTTAGGATTTATTAAAGTGTCCGTCAAGTTTAAATACGTTGGTTGGGTATTTCTTCCGTTTTTTTTTGGTATTCTCTGACTCTTACTAAATCGCCAGGCACGTACACGCTACAAGTTATATGCCCGCATGGTGTGTCTGAAGCTGAAGGTTCTGCAGAGAAATGCTACTTGATGTCCGTAAACGTTTCCCATCTCGTCCCTATCAATGGAGTACAGTTCGCTTCTATCGTACACACTACTGGCATCTCCCCGCACGGTGAATCTGGGGCTGCCTTTTCTGCAAGAAATGGGACATATTTCTGCTACTCTATATATCCAAGTCATATACATCCTTCATTACTACATCGCATCCTTCATTACTTCATCACATCCTTCATTACTACATCACATCCTTCATTACTACATCATGTCCTTCTTTACTACATCATATCCTTCATTACTACATCACATCCTTCATTTCTACATCACATCATTCATTACTACATCACATCCTTCATCACTACATCACATCCTTCATTGCTATATCACATCCTC